AGTGACCTGAACCAGTCACACAGAAAAAGAGGTCGTTGGCTGTCAGGGTCCGATTGTTTCAGTGTTTCTGTCACTGTTGAGAAACTAAACATTCTCTGCAGAGTAAATTATTACGCACAGTTAAAACACATGACTGAACTGACTTCTTATGCATGAAAACACTTTGTGCCGCTGACATGAACTGAGACTCACAAAGACATCGTTTAATGATCAGCTGACACTTGTAGTGCCCGTGATGTGTAAACTTTCGAATCCTAGCAAATATTTCTTTGTTAAACAACAAGCAGGTCGTAAGAAATGTAACTTTTAAACCCTTCAGGCTTGAATGTCAGGATTTTATAGACCCCATGAACAATGCTTTAACTCATGATCATCTTAACGTCATTAGGACAGATTATGCAGCATTGTGCAACGACTCACAGCAGTGAACAGAATCCAGATAAAATCAAATTCCCATGAAAGAGAGACCAAAGTCAAACTTTCTGTCTAAGTTCCCTTCACAGGCAGAAATCCAATATGGAAGCAGAGAGGCCACGTCTGATTAGATCTGGACTAAACAGAGTAAAGACAGCTCGAGATCCTTCGTTAATATGATCTCAGCAGGAGAGATCTGCGCTCTCACAGACGGAGGAAACATCCATTAACAGAGAAGAGACTCAGCTGAAGGCTCCACCGGGTCACTCAGGTCTGCAGTGTTATTAACTAATTCAAATTTAGATGGTCACAAATGGACATCTTTGTGTGTAGTATGAGCTCACTAAGGTAATACAACATACCGTAGTTGCATCTGTAGCGTCAGTTCCCAAACCGGACCCTACACACTCCATCGCTGAGAGTAACTCTGTTCATCGTCACCGTCACAGCTGAATGAAACTCCCATCATCCAGGTGTAGGGAATAAACTTAAAAACTAAAAGGCTTTGGGACAAACTTCCCTGTCTGTGGCAGGAAGAGAAACTGTCTAACTAACTAACTTTGTGTAACCACGGTAAAAAACTAAAGCTTATTTCAGCTTTATGTTCTTCATGTGTGTAACAACTGGTGATCCAGGTGAGAGTGCAGTCAACGCACGACTCTGGAGACAGTTTGGTAAAATAACTCTTTACTGGTCAAAGGGAGGTTCAGAAGGAAAATGAGGAGGAATCCAACAGGGACGAGGCTGAGTCAGAGTCAGTCAACTGGCTAAATGAACAAATCCTAAGGAAAGGACACTAGGAACATCTCACACACACACACACACACACACACACACACACACACACACACACACACACACACACAGAGCTGAGACGAACTGGCACTGAGAGAAAACAAGACACACACTCAACACTCTGGTGAGTGGAAGGATAATGAGACACAGGTGAGGCTGATCAGGGCGGGGCCGACAGTCAGACACAGGTGAGGTCATCAAAGGGAGGGAAGACATACAGGGGCAGGAAGTGAAGTGATCTGAAACGAGATGAGATGTGAGTTTCAAAGTAAAACAGGAAACAACATGAATGCATGAAATAAAAAAAGATGACCTATGAAACTTGAGATGTGACGATGTATTTGTGGCTCTCATGTTTAATGTGTATGTGCTGCTGTTGTTTACCTCAGGTTTCTATGTTATGTTTTTATCATTGAAAAGAAATTGATAAATAAAATAAATAAATAACTAGAAATAAAACTTACTCCCAAGCTTCTTCGATATCATTTCTAGGGATGTCCCGATCACATTTTTTGCCCCCGAGTCCGAATCCGAGTCATTTGATTTTGAGTATCTGCCGATACAGAGTCCCGATCCGATACTTTGGCAATGCAGTAAAATTTTTACTGTAGATTAACTGTATCATCCCACTATTTTTCTGTTCTTTGTGCTCTACCAGGGATGTAACAATATCACAGTCTCACAATATTACAATACTGTACCCCAATAACAAGCCCATGACATTTATTGCAGTATTGTAAGACATGTCATGATATCAAAACCTCACTGTATGATAATAGTACAGTAGCTCCACGGTATAATATTAATTCCATTATCCATTAGTCAACAACAAGAACATTTGGTCAAAAATAAAATAGCTTATCATGTCTTTCTCAATCACCAGGCTCTTTCCCTTTATCCCTCCCTCACCTGCCTGTCTGCCCCCCCCCATCGGCCCCGATTTCCAATCACGTGATCGGATCGGGACATGCCTAATCATTTCTGTAACTTTTGTTGTCCATGACCAAAAAGTTCAAGCTCCAGAGCTGCCCGGCTCCTTCAGAGTTTTCTTTTGCCTCTTGGTTGCTTCTCTGATTGATGGCCTCCTTGTGTGGTCTGTCAGTTTTGGTGGGTGGTCCTCTCTTGGCGAGTTTATTGTAGGGCCATAATCTTTCCATTTTCTAATATTGGATTTAATGGTGCTCCGTGGGATGTTCAAAGTTTGGGATATTTATTTATAACCTGACCGTGACCTGTACTTCTCCACAACTTTGTCTCTGGCCTGTTTGGTGAGCTCCTTGGTCTTCATAGTGTCGCGTGCTTAGTGGTAGCCCTTGCTTAGTTTTATTTTGTTGTGTAACAGTAACATAACATGATGTAAACACATCATATGAGTGACGTCAGTGCGCAATGGTTGTATTTAAATGACATAATTGAATATATAATTACACCACTTACATACATATGCAACCAATCTTTTCTTGCAGGCACCTTTCCCCCAAAAAATGAAAATATCTAAAATTATTCCTGTCTTCAAAAGTGGAGACAGATTCTTGTTCACTAATTACCGACCTTTCTTTCTGCTCTCACAGTTTTCCAAAATTTTAGAAAAGCTGTCTGTGGAAAGATTAGACAACTTTATAGATAAAAATATGGGGTGCCCTTTGTAAAGTGTCTCACGCTGAAAATAACATCAACATTTTGCCACATTTAGCTTCAAACAATGTTTAAAAAAGTATTGTGAATTTTTTAACGTCACCTTTTACTACATTTACAGCAATATTTGTTAACTTAGAAATATATTAAATAGTTAAATCTAAATATTAAATGTGGCACCTAAATGTTAAATGTTAAATCTAAATGCTAAATCTAAATCTAAATCTAAATGTTAAATCTAAATGCTAAATCTAAATGTTAAATCTAAATATTAAATCTAAATCTAAATCTAAATCTAAATGTTAAATCTAAATC